GTTCTTTCTTCAAACGAGCTGAGGACCTAACCCATCAGCAGAAAGCATTTTGCTATACATTGCCAAGTTGGACCCAGAGAAGTTTAGCAAGAGCAGAACACACTGCTCAGTGAATAGGGCATATGGTTTGCATGACGGTGGAGATATGTGTGAGTGACAGCCAGCCGGTCACTATACAGCTCAGTAGCGGGGAGCACACACGTGCTGTCCTGTCGTATTTCCACCACTGTGTAAGCGCTAAACAACCTGCTCCCGTATTCCTCGGCATGCTGAGGTTGCCAGGCTGCCAATGCGAAAGCCCTCTGTGCAAGGCAGGGCACTTTCTGCCCGGGCTTGCAGCCCCATGTACCCTCAGCTGGCCACAAAGCAGCCTTGACATCCCTGAGAAAGAAACACCAAATGCACAAGTACCAGATGAAGCAGGAATCTGGGCTGCAGTATGTTCCTGGCTGAGCATTCAAGCACCTTCAGCAGAGGACTTTTAGCCTTAGCACTGTGGCCAGTCGTTAGGTTATACAAACTGCCTCAAACAATATTCCAGCAACCTTGCAAAGCTTCTCTCTCACACATAGACATTTGCACAAATACACCCCCCACACCCCCCCGCCCTGCTCAATTTCAATATTTCTTGGGTGGATTTACCATTTCCCAAGCAGGTTGCTATAGTGACCCTGCAGAACATTTTTTCAAAACACTGTTGTACTGTAAATGTTTACATACAGCATAATCCTGCCAAATTGTTTTAAGACAAAGGAAAACACTTTGCTTTATGTCCAGCCTTCCAGCTTTTTTAGCATCGAGAATGTACTTTCAACTAACAACAGCAGCTAATTATGCCTTTCTGTGGGCTTGTGCACCCTCAGGCCTAATAATGGGTCATCTATTAGCTTTAATGAATAGCAAAGCTATCGGATTTACTAGTGTTAGCTGATTTCACGCATTTCTGAGTAAATTCTGAGTTAACCGAAGGGCTGAGGCTTAGCTCAAGGGCCAGACACCCAGTTGGTACAAATCAGTGTCACTTGATTGTGACAAGATGTAAAAATATTGATACTGGGGCAGGACATTACTGATGAACATCAGTAGATTTTTTAATAAGTCTTCTTAATCTGGATAATTAATGGAACATTTTTAGATAATGTACGTCAGAAGAAATATATGGTTCCTGTTTTAATTCACATTCTTCTGGATTCCAGCAACAGAGACCAACAGTCAGTGGAATATAAAAGTATTTGTTCATGGTGTTGTTTTAAACACTGTAATGTTCCTATATCAACATTAACAGTAGCGTGATTTATGATTACAGAACACATACATAGCTATCAAATGTCTCCCACGCCTCTACTCTGTTTCTAAGATACTAAAGCAAAGTCCAGAGCATAATATAATTTACAGCACTATAAAATCTTTTACAACTGAAGCACAGTGAAAGCTTAATATCCAAGACCTTCTGTAATATGACTATGTCATCTTGTTAAATGTTATTTATGGGAGCACTAGGGTTGACAAGAACTTTCTTCATGTCACTTCCCTACTGATTATCAATATCACCTTTCTCACTTCATGGTGTTCAGAGGAGGAGGTCTTCCTTTCAAAAACATAGGTTCAGATAGATAACAGACTGTTTCCTCAAAGTTTATGTTTTAGTTACGGCCTTAGATCGCTTGCCCAAGATCATGATCTCTTCCTTCCTAGTAAGAATTTACAATGCTCTATCCAAGACAACAGATAATTCAAAGCACTTAGCCCTAAGACAAATGCTGAAGCACCATTACCTGAACCTTCTGTGGTTTCTCTTCCCAAAAAAGAAAACAAAACAAAATCTTTCAGTTCTTGGATCTGAATTGTCCTAGAGTTCTGCTTTTACAATTCCAAAATCGATGACACACCAGAAAGGCCTTATTTTGTCACAAGCCTTTAGATGCCAGAGGAGCCTGGCACTGTTAATTCTTGTCATTTCTACTGTTTGAGAGAGCAAAAATCCTGGGAGTCAGGTCACCTTGGGAGAGTTCCATCATCTGGAGCAACATCAAAGTGAACTTTTGCCTGCTCAATCTTGGCACACCAGTTTATGAATGTGACACTCTGATTTAACTCCGATGTGGCCTGAGAACCAAACCATCACCTCTAGTTTTATCTTAACCCAGCACTGGGTTGGAAAACACTCTCATTGAACTTTCATGATACTGTAAAGCAAGACAGAAAAGGTTTAAAAAAATCCCACAATCTTAAAAATATTTTTTCTTTGCTTCCAGAGAATAACACAGTGTCCTCCTAAACCCCAAACAAGGCCAAAGCATCACCTCAGCTGACAGCCTGGGAAAGTATCACAGTTGCCCTTTTTCACCCCTGCCTCCCTCTCTACTGCCTACCAAGGGTTATACAAAATATTCAAACTGCCCAGCCGTTCAGCCCTGGTTTTGGTGGTCAGGACATCAGCTAAGCGGGGAGTGTCCCACCAGCAGGAAGAGGCTGATCACTTGGACACCAGTCCCTTCCAGCACCACTGTCACCCTCTCCTGCAACTTCACTGTACCACAGGAGAATTTCTCCTTCCATAATCTCTGGGTAATTTCTAATTCCATAATGTCTGGACTGAGAATATTAAAAATCAGTTCTAGCATTACCAGTCAAATAACAGTCGAGGAAGGAATATGTTCAGAATAAAAGTCATACAAATGGGTAGGTAGGTGTATTTTCATCCTCATGATAGAACTTCTTCACACTTTTCTGGCAAGGAAAGGGAGCCTTAAAATAGAAATAAATTACAACCCCTTTTCTGTTTGGTTAAAGTAGCCTTAGAACAAACAAGAAACAGGCCTGCACATCTTAAAGGCATGGCAGTTAAGTCTGAAAACACATCTCATCTAAGTGTAATTTCCACCAAGACATCTGATTCCTCCGGCTTGCCATTGGTTCACAGCATTTACCTGTCAAGGAATTCCACTCATGGCCTTTAATGTAGACTGGCCAAATATGTTACACAAAGCCTTTTACAGCTTTTCAACTTCTCTGCTCATGCAGTAGAGTGCCTAAGTCCATGAGCAGCGTCCTACAAATAAGAAGGGCTCCTTACACAGAAGGGTGTTACTAACCATGAACATGGGTAGTGGATTCTGCATTATGTTATCCAGGACTCCATGGAATTAAACTAACACAAAAATGTATAATTATTACAGCAGCCAAATATACATGGAGCTCTGCTCCATATTAGTAGAAACCTGCACTGTTACACTTACTAATGCTGTCCTAAGCTTCAGCCCCCGAAATGCTTTATAAACAAGACAGCCCTCTAAAATTCAAAACTTCATCTTGTCCTGATATGGCAGTCAAATCTGGAATCAACCAGCATCACAGAAAAACTTCAGTCCTCCTGGCACTTCTTCAACAAAGGACGTGTTTGTACTATTGATTGTACTGCTGAAAATAATTTTGCTGTGTTGACAGGCATCACTCAGCACAGATTGTGATGAAAAGCTGAAAATTAGAAAGTTAAATGAACACCTGCAACGATTTTCCTGCCAATTTTACAACAAAATAAATATTGAATTATTCTGATAACTGGGTCAAATTCATCCCTGGTGTCATGGCCCTTTGAGGTTAACAGTGCTATGACAGGAATGAATTTGGCTCCTGTGTCTCTTTCAGAGAGCGAATGCTTCACTGAACTTTCAAACCCCCTGTGCCAACATTCATCTTCATTTAGAACCCATCTTTCCCGCTTTACGGAGGTTTTGCAGCAAAGCCATAATTTTCCTATCAACTTGCAGTCAATTATGTCGACAGTTTGACATGAATATTGTACATACACAAAAATAATTTGCAAAACAGCTTTTTCAATTGTTAGACTTAACAGTCATTTCCATCATACATAATCTTCTTTGACATGTATAATTCCACGAGCTATCCTTCCGGGAAGAATATGCATCCCTCCGTATCATAGCTGCTTGAATAGCATTTTACAAACCTGTGGTGCTGCAGAGATTTTATGAAAAAGATACTATGATGCAGCCTCATTTTCATCCTGTCTTTTTTTTTTCTTTTTTATTCTATTGCTTGTAGAAGATGAAGAACACATTCTTTTTCATGCTGCACCTGTAATACTGTATATTCAGCTTTAGTCCTCACTATACAGAAAAAGATGTGGACAGGTTGGAGAGGGTCCAAAGAAGGGCCATGAAGATGATCAAAGGCCGGGGAAGCCTGCCATATGAGGAAAGCCTGAGACAACTGCATTTGTTCAGCCTTGAGAAAAGAAGGCTTAGGGGAGACCTCATCATCATGTTCCAGTACCACCTAAAGGGTGGCTACAAAGAAGATGGAGACTGCCTTTTGACAAGGATTCACATGGAAAGGACAAGGGGTGACAGGTACAAGTTACTCCTGGGGAGGTTCCATTTGGACACAACAGGAAATTTTTTCACAATAAGAACAATCAGCCACTGGAATAGTCTCCACAGGGAAGTGGTAGATTTACTAACAATGGACACTTTTAAGATTCAGTTGGACAGAGTGCTGGGCCATCTTCTCCAGACCGTGCTTTTGCCAAGAAAGGTTGGACCAGATGATCCTTGAGGTCCCTTCCAACCTGGTATTTTATGATTCCTCTTGCAAAGCAAGCAAAAATTTTATTCTTCCAATCTACAAGTGCTTACACAGCAAGAAATTCCTGCAAGTCCCAGGAAATCCACAGAGGGTTACAGCATCTTGATTAGATTCCCTCAAGTTGTGTTTGGGGAGGTTCTGATACTCCAACAACGGAGAAGTGTGTAGATGTGATGAAAAACATTACAGCCTGCTCACACCTATGGAAGTCTAGTTACCCATTCAGAGAGAAGGGCTTCAGAGGGCACCCAAGAAGGAAAAAGCAGGCAACATATTATCATGCACATGATTTTAAGGGCCACTGAGCCCCGTTTTCTGCACATTTCCCCCTTCAAACCTCAAATAAAAGACAAAGCAGAGTATCTGACTTTAAGTTTCCAGAAAGACTACTTTACCAGCTTTCGGCATTCGCGTCGTGTTCTGTAGGTACTCTCCACTCTTATACAGATTCAAAACTCTCTCTAGCTGAGCAGCCGTCTCATCTATTCCCCACTGAAGTTCTCCTTTAAAAGTACAGGAAAAGAATGAGTTAGATGAGAAGCAACCTGCACAGAACAAAATGAGGTTGCATTCGAATGAAGCCCTAAGCATCAGAGCCCAGCAGTGCCCTGCTCTACAACTGCGTTGTGATGTGGACATGAAGTCCGTGAGTTACTACAAATTGGGTTTCATACCTGACATGAGCCAGGCATGTCACAGGCTGCCTCGTCCAGCTGGGAACCCCAGGCCTGTGGGCAGAGAACAATGCAGTGAGCTCACCACAAGGGATGAACTTTAGCCAACACAGGGAACTCCAAAGGCTTCGCTTGTTAACTAGCTATAGCCCAGCATCATTAATTTCCCCATTGAATATATACAGTACAAGGTATAAAACCCCTAGACCAATGCACTGAAAACCCTCAAATCAAATTTACAGGCACATGCAAATACTCTTGTCCCAAAGGCACTACCTTGGTAATTAGTAAAAACCTATGGTAATGTCACTTGCCTCTGGCTTCTGAGGTATAAAAGTGCCACCGGTACCACTGAGGAAGTATCCTGGTTTTATCATTCAAATTCCCCTTGCTATAGACAGGGGCTCCTCCAGACCCCACAAGGGATTGCATTCTGATGCAGTTCACCCCAGTGCTGAGGTGTCAGGAGGCAGTAAATACCTCTGTGAAGCCTGGATAATATCTCAAAATGGGATTTCTCTGGTATAGCAGCCTATTTTTGCCTTCTCTGTATGGGGGAAATTTTTTCCCGGTAGAAAAACAATCTGGTTCTATTGCAGTGAACATAAAGCATCATCCTCCACATCCCACGTATGACAGTCACACTAAAAAAGGAAATAATTGGCATTACCACGTTTATTGCGATTACCTGTTGCATTGACTATCTTATCCAGTAATGGTCTCAGTGAGGATGGCGCACTGTGTGGAAGAAGATACGTAAAAAAAAACCTGCAATGGAAAAGTAACCCATATTGAAAAATTTTTAAAAAGAGTTTACAAATGTCTGGTAACTACTGAACAACATAAGGAATAAAACTCCTATTGCTTATAAGCCACTGACCTATTCAGGAAATAGAATCATATTCTATAGTCAAATAAATATATAGCTGAGACTATTCACTCAGCTGCCTGGCATACCTAGACCACGCTGTTATACACAAGGCTGCCTTGTAACTATGTGTAAATATTCCATTAATACAGAAATTTGCTATGAAGCCCCGTGGACTGTGACTATTTGCAAAGCTGCCTGTACTTCAGCAAACCAAAAGGATGGCACCAACCCCAGAAGTCTCAGGTTTGGTTTTGTTTTTTCAAACCTTGAAAGTGCATAAATCAAATTTCCGATAATTTCAAATAATTGACTACTATTTTCCTTTCTACAGTTTTCTGAGACTTTCAAATTAATTGCCAGGAGAAAGCCGCCTTCTACTGTTTTAATGCCACTGCAATTCAGAATGTCTTCTCTGTTCTTCTAATTTACCTAAATTCAAGATGCATTCATGTGGTTATTCATCAATGGATGTATATTGTCCGTTTTAACATTTTTCATTACAAAATCAAAAACAATATGCCTGTACCATCACTTGAAGTACACTTAATTTTCACATTGTTCCTTTCATTTTCTGTTACTCTGTCAGTATTACCACCCACTGCAAATTCAGTGTCACCAACCTAAGACAGAGATGGGTAGTTTAGGATCTGACAATATACACAGAACTGTCAGACGTAAATATTAGGTAATGAGCAGGACATGAACACAATTGTGAAAGGCCCTGCTTTACATCTAACCTGTGAAGTAGATGTTTTTTTCATGTATAGAGACCACATTGTCAAACAGAAACCGCCAGGGACTCATGCTCAGGAAGGAGACTAACAGACATCTTACATAAGCACAAACTAAAAAATTAAGCTACTGATGGCAAAAATTGATCATAGAAACAGGTATTATTGAGCTGAGATATTCCACTTACACAATGAGTACTTTAACTCCCTTTTTAATCCCTTACAAAAATAATATATTCTTTATTATACATCTCTATTATTTAGTAATAAATAATATTTATCATATTCATGTTATTAATATATTTACTAAGCAGGATTATCCCTGAGTAAGTTTTCTTAGTGATGAGTATGAAACAGTCAATATAAATATACACAGAAATCTAAAGAGCAGCATAATGTTTGTAATGAATAATTTGTCTGATAAATTTTACCTTTTTTTCTGCTTAGAGATTATCCATAAGCAGAGTCTGACTGATTGTAAGTATTCTTCGCAAAAATTCAGTAGCTGTCACTTGCTTTGCTAAATGCTGGATGGACGCGAGTCACAGAGGTTATTGTTTTTCTGTGGCTATATAAATATACGAGTTGTTCTAATGCAAACATCCACATGTGAAATTCTGACATGTAGAGACACTGGCACCTGCACAACTTAATTGCAGGAACATTTGTTGCTCATCAGTTCCAGGAGGACCAGTGACATCCCCTGTGATCTGCATAACACAGATTGTCAGATCCTTCTACATTTGTTCCTAACAGTCTTTTTTTCCCTTTCTTTTTTCTTTTTGATAATTATCCTATCTTAATTTAAGAACTGTCAGTGATGGAGAATTCATATCAGCCATTGGTTAATAGTTCAAAATATTAATTATCCTTACTTTTAAAACCATCCAGTCCTCTGAAAATTGTTCCTCCACACATTTGGAGGAGAACCCATAGAGGCCCACTTGTGACAGAAGGTAACCATTTGAAAGTGAAGATGGGCCAGTTCTTGCACAGCAGAGTTTTTTTCCAAAATGTTTTCTCTCCTTTAATTATTTACCTCATAAAGAAACCAGCTAGATAGGCTAATTACACTTTCAAGGCTAGGGCCTGCCATATTTTAAAGTTACAAGGGTTTTATGCATTGTTTGACATACTGCTGCTTTTGACTTCTACCTAACAGCACCATCAACCCTTTTTCTAAGGGCAACCTCTAACCCTACAGCAACAGAGTGCACCCATGAAAATATGACACCAGGTTATACCTAACGAACTGAAGATTTAGCCTTCCAAGACAAGTGCACAGACTTCATTGCTAATGCCCAAGCACGGGTGGTCGCAGTCCATCAGAGCACGAATCTGCTGTTGAACACAAACCCACTGTCTCTAGCAAATTAAGCAAAAGCAGGGGCTGAAAACACTGCGGCACTGTGCCTGCGTTACACCCTGGTGCGCAGTTCAAAGGCAATATTAAGAACTGTAATAGAAAAAGACTGCTTCCTTCTGAGAGACCAGCAACCTGCCGCAGGCCCACCACACCGCAGACATATCCCCACTTACGACCGAGATGGATGGGTGCCTGTTAGAGGTTTCTTAGCCAGACCAGTAAAATGGTCTTAACCAAAAGCTAGCAAGCTAAGCAGGATCTTTTAGCCAAGCAAATGGAAATGGAAAAATTTGCAGGACTCACTAAAAACTGCGCTACACAACTGCAGATGGCTGTCATGTGGTGCAGCCCATTTCAGTGTGGTCAGCTAATGCAACACACATGCTGGTGAGCACCCTGGGACCAAAGCAGAAGACTCTCTCTGGAGCAGCCTCTCCTCGCTGTGGTCTGGCAGGCAGTGAATGGCATGATACTTGAAAGGGAACTCTAAGAAATGAGCACACCATTATGGCATTGCTTTGGGATCTTCCTATTGGGATCAGACAAGGCGGCTGCCTGGCCCAGCAGCGCCCGTCAGCTGGAGCATGGCACTGAACATCAGCTACCGGCTCCCCAGAAAGCAGGGACACCACTCCCCCAGCATTCCAGCCCAGCCCTCTGAGGGGAGCTATGGGCAGCGAGGGAGAGCCGAGAGCACAAAAACAAAGGCATCACACAGAAGGACTCTGTTGTAAATCCAGAGGAACCTCTAAAATCAAATCTGGAAGATGGACGTGTCAGCTGAAGGCTTTCTCAGTATAGCTGACTGGTCTGGCACAGCCGGTCACCTACATCTTCCCATCGCGAGCACGGTACTGCCGCAGAGCAGAAACAGCCCTAGGAGCCAGTTCCCCAACATCTGCCCACACAGAGATAGGGGCTGTGGGCAGAGCAGAGTGGGAAAAAAGGGAAAACCCCTTGCTTTAAAAGGTTTGGGACTACTCCCCAGATCGCCAGTGATGGATGGTGCTCTACGTGACCCCATGGCTGCACTGGGAACTGTTATAACCCTATGGAGGCAGGGAGCACCGAGCCAGAGCGCAGGACAAGAGCCGACCTCTGACTCTGCCTCTGAAGCCAGCTCTTTGCTCAGCCAGTGGTGGAAGAGGTGTGACAACCCTTCTGAACTCACACCAAAGAAGAGCTGCCTGAAACATCTGACCATAGAGCTAATGGGCCCTCATCTCCACAGGCACCTCTCTTTCACTCCTATGAAAATCTCTACTTGCGTGAAGAATTCAATGGAATGAAAGCAACATAAAATTAGACTAGAAGTGGTGAATCACACTCAAAAAATGCAAAACAGTTATAAATGCTATGTATTTCCACAAATGAAACAATTATTCATGGCTTCTCTTACTCTTGGGTAATGGTTCTGAGATAGTATGTACTCATTGATGTGAATAACTATAAAGGATTCTGGAGATTTTTTGCCTACTTTCAATTCTCTTTTATCTCATTCGATCACGTACCTGTAGGCGTTGTAGAGATTCCTCTTTTCGTTCATATTCTGGCACCGTCCCTCAACTGAACAGGGCAGGGTGAAGTTCCTTGCAGGGAATTCCATAAAGCAGTCACTGTTACTGGTGCAAGAGCTCTCCTCAATACTGGCATCATCCAGATCCGTCACCTTCAGTTCCCCATCCACGATCACAAACTGCCGAGGGCGAAAATCCAGTAATGTCACAGAGCCCAGAGGAGAGTGAGCCAAATAATGCAGAAGTCGAACTAAGCTGAGACATATCTGAAATGCAAAAACGTGGGTACCTTGTGTTATTTTCTCAGTGCAAAGTATATAAATTAAACCACTTTAGCTGAAGATACATTCTTAAATATATGGCTTAATGTAAGCATTATAACTTATCCTCAAAACTGAATGTTGCAACTAAGGTATTTTTCAAAGGATTAACATAGTTGATTGTAAAACCCTTAGAGACTTGAAACAAAAATAAGCTGCTTTACCAGTGCTTTCCCACACTATTCTTGAAGCAGGGCTCATTGTTGCTATTCTTACTTTTAATAGAAATAAAAGTATTAACTTTTAATAACACATTATGCACAGGCCTCAACCACGCAGCCTGATTCTGCTCTTTTACAAACTCCAGGTCTGGAAGTTTTGGCCGGACCACCCTACGCCCACGTCTGGAGCTCCAACTGCAGACAGTGTCTGTATTGCCTCCGTACTGATCCTGCCTTTTGACTGCTTTTATAATTTTTTTGCACTGGTTCCTTTTATGTTTGCCTTTTTCCAAGGGAGGAGGAAGCAATTTCCCAGAAAGAGGAGCTCCACAGCTCCTCCCTAACTCTTCACCGTGCCTCAGGGTAAGTGTATATGTCCACCTGTCTTTGTGGGTCTACCTTGGTCGACCCACATTCCCACTTTGAGGCTGGGGTGGAAGCTCTGAGTTGATGCTGCACTTCTCAATCGCAGGTTAGAAACTTGAGTAACTACTACTAGACAGCAAACTCTATGAACACTGAACTCGGCCCCCTTACCAAAGTACTGTTTTCAATTCATGCATTCCCTCAGAGACCACTATGTAACATATTAATGCAAACATAGCATTAATATGAACACAGTTAAATACTGGAATTTTTGTTCCATGTACTAAATTAATAACAGGTCTTATTCAGTCTAGCAAGCCTTTTATTGTTTATATATAATCTTTGTTTTCTGTTAAAATACACTGTTAAGGCCACGTGCATTGAAGTAGTCAAATCCAAATTCAGTCTCAGGGTATAAATGGTATACTCAGGGGAGCACCTAAATTCATCCTTCATAAGAAAGCTGAGTATGTCTGAAGTTATTCCTCACTGACCCTTCACCTGTGGGGCATTAGGACTATCTCACGCTCCTATAGTCATGCTCCTGTTTGATGAGACTAGAACATATTTTATCCTATTTACTGGATACCACGGTTCCCATGGAGATGCCTGTAGGTGTAGATGAACACAGGCCAGGTTATGGGATGTCAGATTTGACAACCCATTCCTCCCTCTGGAAGGACACAGGATGCATGCATATACCATCCTGCAATACGCTGTGTATAAAAGACACATCCAGCCCAAACTAATCTATAATACACCTATCTTCAATTGCCAATGAACCCAGAATTTAGCTTGAATAAAAACACAGGTTGTCATCTGAAACCATTGCTTCTTCTGAAATGCCAAAAAACCCCTCGTCCTGCACTGGCAGCCTTTCTGGCCAGACTGAGCCCCTATGGGCTGCTGGCCCTGTGTGCCTGCTGCCAGGCTGGGACCGCAAACTCCTCCATATGACAAGTTTTAAGCACACAGATGATACATTTGCTCAGTACCACACACCTCTGCTGAGCACAGAGAGGCTGATCTGGGGAGCAAACTTACTGTTGAGTCCCTCAACATACGGAAAATATTACTAGGAGTAAGGTCAAGTATTTGTGTAGCCATTTTCAGGACTGGACCACAAATAAGTCTCACATATCAAGAAGACATGATTTTATTTCCTCCTTCTTCTCCACGTTAGTTGCGTCCTAGACAAGCTAACAAGCATGACATTATCTAAGACTTCATTACAGCAGTCACAGGAATGTTTCATCTGTAATTCCACCTCTGTGAATGAGCTTAGCACCTTCATCTAATTCTCCTTCATGTTTTCCTTTGCAATTGCTCACTCAGGAACTTCCATGCTAGAAGGAAATGTCCCTGTTTATTACCCATAATCTAACGTATCTCTTGGTCATTTGCTTTGTACGTAGTTGCTGTCACAGTCTGTTCCCTGGATGGCACAAGCCAAAGACAGGTCCTGCATTTCAGGAGCCGTGACAAGTACCTCTACTGCTTATTAAGACCATGCTTCTTTCAGGAAAAGGGAGCTGATGCTTTGCACAGAGAATACACTTGCTCCATCTATGTTAGTAAAATAAACCCTGTCAGGGAACATTCCCGGGCACAGAAACTGGATCCTACACGCACACCTGGTAGTATGGTCCCTGGCCTGGGTCTGATGGGGACTGTGGCTGCTCTCCCGCACAGTCCCCATGCACGGCCCAGAAGGCAGCGCAGGATGGGGACCATTTCTGATGGGCATCCTGTGGGCAGCCACCTGGCCTTCAGCGAGTCCAAGAATTCAATGGTACAGACATGGGCTGCACCTTGCTGGCTCATCTCCGAGATCAGTCAGCCACACTTTTAATTTTCTGGTACAGACTTAGCCATGCAATCCAAAGTATTTTAGATGCAGACTGCTGCTGCCTTGCAATGTCTTAGGGAGTTAACTTCAGACGACGACACGTCGTCCCAATATACACTGAGCAAGACGGCGCTGTCTTGATCAAAGCATTGCTGCAGTCTGGCTTCATTTTGGACAAATTAAGTGTGACCTTTGTGCTCCTGGTAAATTGCCAACGCAGTGGACAACCCAGCTTTGAGATTTGTGTACATTTATTTCACTCTTCCCTCAGTAAAAGACGAGCAAAGCAGGAAGCAGTAGAAAAAATTTCTAAAACCAATGTATGATAAAGATCACGGGAGAAATGTAACATCCTTCTATTGTTTAAATCCTGGTTGCAGAGCACAATGCTCAATGCCAAAAATCCTGGGCCTCGAGCTTTAACAAGTAAGAAAGGTCTGAAGATATCATATAAAAAGCATAGGACTGGCTATAATTAGATAACATCGACAGACAGAATCACATGACAGCTTAAATGCTACAGAAAGAGGGTGCTACATGTTGCTTCTAAACCAAGATGTAAGCATAGGCAAAGCAAACATTTAATAAATGTGAACTGCCCTGCATAGTACATAACCTTGTTTCACACTTGATATTATTTTGTATCCATCACTCTCTTAAAAGTCCTTTTTTTAAACAGTTGTTACTCACTCGAAATCTGTCTTCCCAGGAAGTCTGTAAAAGCTGAATCATCTCTAAAGGTGAGCCCAGTTCAGTGATGGTTGTCAGCGTGTCTGGGATGTCATTGCTATCTTGGTAACAATAGCCGTAGAGCTGAAAAAAATCACAACCAGGCAATATCAGTGTAAGGTATCTTGGCATGCTTTTAAGTTTCTCCGTGGATGAGGTGCAAAGTGAGCATTTCTTACAAGGCTCTGAGCTCTACACATTGTACTGTCTTGAAGTCAATAGCTTTTGTGTCCTCTCCTTCCTAGAATTCTCCCTTGAAACTCCCAGATTAGCTAGCAGAGTCTCTTGTGAGCACCATACAGCACAAGGCCAGGGAAGTGCCCCTGCATACCTCTCTGTACAGGATCTTATACCAATGAATATTTAAGAGAAAAAAATAAATGAAAATATCTATGAATGCAGAAACAGAATTCTATCTGAGGAAAATTAGTTTGGCCTATGCAATACCCAGCTAGCCAAGACTGATTTTCTGCTTAAAAGACATCACTAAATAGCTTTTAATGACATTTCTCGCAGCACTACTGTTTGTACATTGACTGGCAATGTGTTATTTCAGTGACATGGAAGCTTGAAAAGCAACTGACGCGCCAAAACTTATCACATTTTCCCAGCCAGAAATTGCGTCTCGCTATACTTGATGGACTTTTGTGTGCAGTATTGTTAAAGAAGGGCAAATACTCCAAAATATTATCTGTCAGTGGCTTCTTCAGTTCAAAAGCATTTAAATGGCAATTTCGGCCATGCTCCAACTCCTTCTTGTATTTGCTTTCCAAGGACATTTGAATGATTAATTTTCACTTGCACAAATAATTGCACAAGAAGAATATTTAAAGACTGTGGAGATGTCTTGCTTTATATGGAGTGGGACAATGTCTGACAGGGCTGGGAGACAAGCTTTTTCAAACTCCCTGCCAAGCCCTAGCAGAGAGGCAGTTAAATGAGCCTGATAAGGATCTGATTGCAACTTTCCAGCCAGAAAAGCATGCACATGAAATAAAATTAAATGTAATCTCTGCCCCCAGTTAAATAAACCACACAGCAAAAGGGTCTGTGTGAAAACGCAGCATTAAAAAATGCCCTGCTGCTATTCTTCTACTGCCTTGCCCTGAGTAATTTGATTTTTCGAATTTCTTTTAGTTTTAAAAAGCTCAGAGAAGCTGACGGGGGTCTCCTCTGAGCTGAGGAGACTCAGATACGGTCCTGCAGAAGAAGCCAGGCTCATCCAGTGCGGAATGGGGACCGACCCTAACTCACCAGGAAAGCAGAGCCAGACCACAGAGTGCAATCCACGGAGGGAGCAGGTGAGGCTGGACACAACTGCTGCGAGCAGATTTGAGCACCAAGCACATTCTTATGCCTTGTGACCCTCCCAGACAGAAGAGCAAAGACCAGGCTAAAGTCAGCAAATACAGGATTTGTTATAAACCGTTCTGCTAGCTCTGACTGTAGCTGTCTACATTGAAAGGAAAAAAGGGTGCCAAAAAATGTAAAAGAAGTAAACAATTTTGCTTTTTGGTGTAAAAACGGTGCTGCATTTCAAAACAGCTGCTTAAACACGAACATTAACATAAACAAAAAAAAGAGCTAGAAGATTTTATTTTAAAACATGCCAAAAAGATTTTGGCGTCAATGCATAACAGAGAATTTGGAATAGATGCTCATATGAATATCTGAAATAGGAAAAGGGACTTTTCTCTTTACTGCCATAACCACGACAGAGATTGAAACAGCAATCATTTCTTAATCTAGATCCATTCAGACTGGACTTGGGTTTGTTCCTCATCGTCTGTGACACCATTTTTGTGCAGCTTATTGACAGGAGTTAAATCTTTGTGTGCTGTAAACTCTCTTAGTTTAAGCCTTCTGAACTAGCAAAAAATGAAATTAAATGAAAACACAATACAATATATATCTTTTCTTAAAGACAAGCTGGATTCTGCAGTTTTTACTAGGTATTTCATGCCTGTCTTCTGTGGGGGCAGCCTGAAACAGTAGGATGAATCTCAGGAGGTTTGAAAACCTTCACTTCTGATGTCAAAATCTAACATCTGTTTCTGTATCATCTGCAGAGTTCAGCACTTGTCTTTAGCGGAGTAATACTATCCATTGGGGAAAAAAGCCAAAAGGGAAATTAGCAAGCAATACAGACTGAGAAATGACAGTATTGCAGTAACTCTTGAGTCACAGTAACACTGAGTACAAAAAGATAGCAGTCTTCATTAGACATTCTCAAGGTCTGTGAAAACCATTCCAGGAACAGAAATATGGAAGACAAACAACAACTGTACATTCATTTGATTATAAAAACATAAAACATAACATATCTGTACACACAAAATATTGGTAAATTAGTCATCTTATGTATTTATGTGCATATGAACACATAAGTAGAAATTAATTACAGTATCTGTTTGTATCTATTTTATCCCAATCCATGAATGCCAACAGTAATAATGACTTAGATTTGTTCTCAGAGAGCTGGAACTTTGCTCATAAGTAATTATTTCATTTTAGTACTAAATTTGTACCTTGGCAAAAGTCATTACTGCCCAACTATCTCAGTATTCAGTGTACATTTTATTATATTAATGCCCATTTAATCACTCCAGTCATTGTGGAAGCTTAGACTACCTGATCCAGTGTTGGTTTTTAACTAAATTGCTCTTTATTCTCACAAGAAAAATTTCCTGCATGAGTATTGCTGAACTTAATCAATCTTACAAGCTGAAAAACACAGCATTGAACAAGTTAGTATAGATCTAACTCAAAAAATATATAATCTAACCTGAGCTCTTTATTGCTTTTACTGAAGTGAAACCTCTCCAGATGCAGTGCTATTACATAATTATATAGAGTTATAAAAGGACAGATGTCTGAGATATAAAGGATTTATTGGGTCGCATTTATACTTTTCTAAATGAACTCCTGAAACTAAATGTAAAAATGCACATGTAATTACATGGCCATATTTGTATGTGCAATTACGATGATTACAAACTGGGCATGTCCCAACAGCCAGTTAAGCATCTAAAATGGTTACATTCATCCCTTCCTGATGAACCACCACCCAGCATACAGATGTTACAAAATACAGTATATATATAGATGCAAAACATTCCAAGACAGTAATTCCTTTAAGAAGCCAACTTAGTAAGACACAGGAACAACAAGTTCAGAGGTACTACCCAAAGTACTTTTTTTTTTTTTTTCTCCTTCCTTTTCATTTTTGTCCAACCCATTTTAAGGTCTGAAATGAGACAAAATGGTTTGTATTCCCAGACAGTGAAGTAAGAAACAGATAGCTGGATGCATACAATAACAAGAAAAATAACCACACGGGGAAACCGAATATAGCTGGAAGCAAAAGATGAGCCAAAATATCTCCTTCATCTGAAATTCTATTAGGTTGGACATCATTCTCAGCGTCGCAAAGCTACACTTTAGATATATTAGAGAGTGATGGTTTTCATACGCCTTTTCAACATGGTTCCAATTAAATGAATGGAAAGAAACACAATCCCACGTCTTTTTCCTATCTCGAGTCACTGCATTCAAATGCCACCCCAATATATTTTTGCGTAGAGTTTAATAGCAAACAGTCACAATATTGGGATGTCTTTCTGTCTGTTTAGAAAAACGTGTGCCAGATATGAAATGTTGTCCTGTTCTCACATTGTTTGCCGTAATTCATTTCGAGTAGCCCTATTTACCAAATCCTTCCCTCACAGTTTGGATTTTCTCAGTCATACAGGCTCGGTCCTGCACGAGTCGTTACACACCCAAAACTCTCGCTGACTTCACTAGTTTCTAGGCACACTGGGCACACACGGTCAGCCCCTGTGGAAGTCATATTGCTTTGTAGGAGCAAAAAAAAAACAACCCTGTTCCTGTAGCTGGTCAGTTCACCTCCCTTTATAATTCCCTTTTACTACAAATTATGAGGACATTGGTGTCCCTTTCAGAGGAGCTGGGGCAAGGGGGGAGGGCGAAAGCAGAGGTCAGTCCCTACACAAAAGCCAACAAGCTTACTGAATAAAAACACAAAATAAAGGAGCTTATTAAGCTGTCATCAGCAGGGTAAGTCTGTGCAAACAACAGGCCCTCCCGCATTAGCGTAGGCACCCTAGCTGGATTTTCAGAAAAATAAATGTCAAGCCAGAACAGCCGACAAGGCGTTACATTTCATTTATAGAATGTGCTCAGTCGGGAACAGTAGGACCGGCCGCCTTCCGCAGCCCAGGCTCCGGCCACCTTCCACAGCCAGGGCTGCAGCGACTTTGTGCCCTGGCAGCTGGAGGGCAAAACTCCCCTGTACAAATCATGCCATTTCCCTAAAGATTACAATGCACTGTGACTCTTTTTCTTTGTCATGCTAGGTTTTACCCTTAATGTTCACAATTTTTAGATTTTGTCTCTACAACTGCAGGAGCTGGAAATGTCCCCCTTTTTTTGTTAAGGAACGTGAGATTTCCTGACTCCAGGAATGGCAGCTTCGAGAACACTGTTACCAGCTGTAATATAAGTGACAAGTTCAACTGCATTACAGCAAAAGTAGTGTCTAGAAACCTAATTCTCTTCTCTTTTACAATGAACTCACCCAAACTTACTACAGTAAGGTCTAACTGCTGCCCACAATAGAAAAGTGCCATTAAAAAAAATAAAACCAAAACCAACTCACTTTTATGAAAAGCAACAGCAGTCAACGTTTGCCACAGCCTTTCATTTAAAAAAATACATGGACACAGGGTTACCCAATCAAAACTGGTTGTGTCAAGACTGCATTTTGTAGTGACTTGGTGCCCAGGGGAAATACAAAGCTCTCTTTGACACTGGTAGCCATTCGTTTGAGTTGCTGCATGTCAAAACCAGAACAGTGCATTTTAGAAGCTCTTGCCACTTTATTGCTGTCAAAAAGAATATAATAGTATTTTAGGCAACCAGTCCTTGGATTCACCTTTCACTCCTGGAGCACTAGGACAGTTTCTACGAGAGCAGGAACATCCAGCACTGCCTGATACAGCTATGATTTACCCATACATGATTTAAGACATTTATGTCACTCTTAAGATGTAGTCATCTCTCATTTTAAATATTTCCCTTCCTTGCAGATGTTATATACATATATAAATTTCCACATGTATACACACAAGCACATATATATGTACATATTTGTGTATATTATGACATACATATGTATACGTGTGTTTCTATATGTAATATATACACATAATACATATATGTTTATATATATATTAAAATATTTTTTTATATTGCCACCTAGTCAGCACAAAAGCACCTACAAACCTGTAACATGCATCTCCCAAGGATGAGTTCGCTGAACAGCCTAAACTTAATAAAGATCGATCCAGTGTCAACTTTATTCCTACAGGATATATAGAGATGGTGCTTGAGACATGAATTGATTTTCTTCATTGAAATTCAGCAATCAAGCTCTGCCAAGTGCTGAGTCTCACTGGAAAAAGAATTTCACACAGGGTGTGCCCAGCACCACGCAGAACCTCTTAGGAGCAGGACCAAAACTGTATGCTGAAAGCTATGAGGCAAGATTTCCTCTACTGCTGAGTACTGGAACTAAGAGCAAGCAGTGGGTAATTCAAATATTAAGCTCTAAATTCACAATTCTGTCTAGGCTTTTATTTATAAGTGCATTATTATAATCAGCACTAAACTCCAGAAGAGCTAGAAGGCACAGCAATCTCATACCTGGCAGTGTTACTAAACATGGAAGCTCATTAATATAAAAATTGGAACATATTAT